CTCTCCACCCACGGTTCCAGGTTTGTTATCTGCGTGCGGCGTTTTTCTTCAACAAACAGCACGGCGTGGGCTATTCTCGACCAACTGTCTATCGCTTTTTGCGCTAAAAAAAAAAAAAACAACTGCTTTCTGAAACAGCGCAAACCTAATTTTTTTTCTTGACTTTGTTGATGTAGCTACTTGATCAGTGCACGGTGAGACTTGGACTGGCTTCAGCTGCTCGCCGCTTGTACACTTGTTGTGGGGAACTGATCACTGACGTACAGCAGCTTATCAGACCATATGCTATGAGGAATGAGCAGGACAACGACACAGAAACACAACAACTGAATGCTAACTTCGACAGCAAAACTAACAAGGTTAGTTCTGTTCTCCGAACACTGAATGGTTTAACTTGATCCGATATGCAAACAGACATTGGATTGTATAGTAAGAGTGTAGTAATTCAAAATGATCTATGTTTGTACTACTGATAAACACAAATTCCAATCTTCTTCTAAAGAATGGAAATGGCGACATATCATCCTATTTAAAATACCTCTTACTAACTCTGTTTGAATTCCGTACAGTAATTTAAGGACCGTGGTTTTTCCACACGGATTTATGCCGGCCAAAGGGCCGATTCAGGGTGATGTAGTAAGGAGAAATTAGATGCTAGTCACTCGAAGGGGTCAAATGAATGATTGATTACTGAGTAAAGAATCTCAACAGAATATCTATTGCTTTCTGATGTTCGTCTGTATTTTGTAGATCCCTGAAGAGCGATTGGTTCATGATGGTCATGATGTTCATGATGGTCATGCAGTAGACGTTGTGGAAGCAGAAAACCGCCCTTTTTCCAAAACCAAGGAGTCAAGATCAACTGCAGCCGAAGAAAGGGAGAAAGAACTGTTAGAGACAGAAGCTTTTGACAAGTTAAACATCTCGGACAGTGAACACGAAGATGAACAGTCCTCAGGGAATGTGACGTTCCGAATCAGTGAAGGCCGCACTGGTCCTGTGCCGATCATAAACAGGAAAGATCAACATGGTTTTCCCAGATGGGACGCTCGGTGGCCTATTGATGTCTGGGTGTCCTGTGGTGAACCGTTTGTGCCTTTGGAAGGTATGATCAAACCTGTGCCAGGCTCTGACTCAATGGACACAAGTGAAAAAGCGCGTGCGCGAAGATGGCAGGAGTATAGTATTCCGCTCTTGTTTCCACTGGCAATTGCTAAGCTTTTGTTCGCCCGCTACTTGTCCCGTCTTCGCCGAGCGAGAGAGCTTTAATTTTTTTCATCTTTATCTTTGTAAACGCTAAAAAATTCATTAGGTTACGATATACAAAATTACAAATTTCTTACTTAGTTCTTACTTAGTTCAAATTTCTTACTTAACCGAGCGGTAGGTCTGTATGGGAGAATCTTGACCGAGGTCAAGATTCTCCCATACAGAACGACCTAGCTCGGTTAATAAGATGTTTATTAGATGGCTGTGTCTAGAAAGTAACGGAACATATTCTTTGTAACTTTTTTTTCTAGACCGGTCTAGATGGGAAAATCTAGACCGCTTTGAATATTGATTTCAGCCAATCAAATTCGTGAATTCGGTAGTTCCCAGTCCTTGTGAGACACAGCAATATAATAATACAGTGTAATACTAGCAAACTATTCACCAACTAAAAGCCTGTTTTCCATGAATGCCGTGTGTCTAATTTATAATTTTGAGACAAAGTGAGCGATTGAATTGACTTGGCGTTTTACAAGATAGACTGTTCCAGAGGGTTGCGCCATTGTTACTTGAACTATTTTTGAGATAGTCCACTTGGAACGAGCTGGGCACGTTCGTACTCAAAATATGAGTTACTACCTAATGGTTCAACTCAATGTACACTTTTGTGTAAATTGAACTATTTTGACATCTTTTAGAGGCTGAAAAGCAGTATCTACTGTCGATGAAACACAGAGAAGAGAGAACCTGGGTTCAAGCGTACCTTGACCAGGAGAAACACGTGTTGAGACACATGCAGGGTAAGTGGAGTGAAAGTTATGGCCACTGTGAAAATATTATGGACTCCATATATATTTCAATAACGAAACACTGTTGTGGGTTTAAAAAAAGTGCATTTTTGTCTTTTACTTCCTTAAGGCGTTACGTTTCGCCTGACTCCGCTGATTTTATTGAATGAGTTTTTTATCATTGATGATTTTGTTTTTGTTTATTTTCCTTGTTTTTGTTTATTTTCGTTGTTTTTGTTGTTGTTTTCTATTGTGTTGTGGTGCAGTTTCTATGACACATTTACCACCGGAATAAGTCTACTTGCAGAATCACTTAGAGCTTTTCCTCTCTTGATGGCTTATTTTTGTATGCCTTGAAAAATGTGGTTCTTTGCGACGTTCGAGAAGTCCAGCAGACTTTGTCGTTGTGATTGTATTCACAAAGGGCCTCTAAACGGTTCATTAGATCAGCAGATCACTCCCTGAAAAGATTTGGCGGTTGGTTATGACCAGAATACAAATTATTTGTGCGCCATGGCCATTGGGATTTTCCCTTTATATAATTTTTTTTTTAGGACGACGAATCAGTGGATTGAGTCCTCCATCCTCCCCCAGGGGGATTGGACTGACAGTTGCGTGGCACGAACCCACCCGGGCTGAGGAAAGAAAGGAAGAGACCATCAGTGAACTCAAGGTTTGATGCCTGCTTGCCTCCTCGCTCCTTCATTTCCATCTTTATCAGACCCCACAGTTACACCCCAATCTATTTTCCATTCGCTGTGCCGGTTGGAAGTTGGTGTTCTGTCCTTGTAAAAGGAACAATGCTTGCGTTATGTCTGCGTAGTTGGACAATACGCTTCATGTGCGGGACTGTTGTCGTGCATTTTGCTGAAAACGTACAACCGATGGCTTGTTTGTTTCTTATATTTTTATTATTATATTTTTTCATAGTTTTTATTAATTGGTTACTTAATTGACTTTATGTCGTCCACTTCTGACTCTACTCATACTTGTAATTCAGTAACACATCGGACTCCTGCTTCGCGGTCGTCCGATTTTGTCAATCACTTGTATGATTACAGACTGAATTGGACTCCACTCAATCCTATCACCAATATTGATTGTTTTCATCCTCAGAATCATTTGCATGGAGTGAAATCGCGACAAAGTCAGAGTGAAGTTGTGTTGAGCAAAAGTGCTAAGGAATCCACACGAGGGCTTTACTCTAAACCAAAAACGGTACGCAACATACTCTCACGGGAGATTGACGTGCTTATCTACTTACCTATTTAAGGTAGTGTTCTTCAAGTGAAATTGAGGGATTCTTGTTAAGTGGTCATGCGCTGCTGGGAAGGAAACGAAAAGCGATTTAATCGTTCAACCAGCATCAGAATTGTTTGAATTGCGTTTATTTCTTGCATTGTCCACTTTATTTGTCGGAAACAACAGGTTTTTCTGTTCCTTGACTCTTCAGAATATGTCATCATTAACCTATCTAACTTATCATTTGTGTTTGTGTCTTTGTTCTTTGTTTATAATGGCTTTGTTTGTTTTCATTATATTATTTAGCTTAGTTTTGAATGTATGCCTCGTTTGAATTTTATGCAGGTGAAAGTGAACGTGTTTCCGAATGGTGAGGGAAAGCAACGAAGTGTAGCTGCTTTTGGGGCCACCATGCAAGAGGTTTGTTTTTGTCCCTATTAAAATTTTTCCTATGCTTGGTTAGGAATTCAACAAGCCGACAACTAGTGGTGAAGTGCTACAATACCGCTCTGGCTTAAGGCACTGTCCTACTTGATTTTGATTGGTTCATTTAGTACCATGTGACTACCATGAATTCTCCTCCTGTCAGGCTATCTTTGATCTGATTGGCGAAACTTTGGAGACACCAATGAAAAGTGTTGATAAGCAGAAAATCTTAAATGTAGGCATCGTCCCCCACCTCCATAACGGAAAAGAATTGCTAACGGAAAAAAAATAAGGGCTAACAACTCTGGAGATAATTTGTAATAATGTAGGTTTAGTTGTAGTTTTGGTAATTAAGTTGAAGGAGCTCAAACATGGCTGTACTAAAACATCATTACGTTAATGCCTTTTTTCCAACTTTGACTATTATTTTTGATCATTCTTCAGTTGTTAGATGCAAGTACTGCTCGCTTGAACTTAAGTAGCGCTGCTAGGAGACTTTTTACACTGGATGGCGACGAGGTGAGAAAATCAGCAAAGGCTTTCTTGAATATTCTTCGTTTTTGTTTGCTCTAAGGAAAAGCTAACCCTCTTCAAAACATGTAACCGCATGAATATAAGAAAAATTTACGTCATGAGTCACGCCACGATATACTGGCTTATCTTCAGTTGTATTCGTGCCACGTGCATTCTCGCCGCGAGTTTCGTGAAGCTCGTCTTTGTAGCTCATCTGGTTAACTTTTTACTCTGTTTTCATTCAGATCACCAATTTCGACGAAATAGAAAGAGATGAGTATGTTTGTGTAAGCTGTGGTGAAGGCTTTCTTCGTGCAACAGGTGAGACAAACTGCCATTAAATTTCTCCCTTTATTAACCACAGATCTTTAAAAAAAAAGTGAAAAACAAGAAAAAAGTAGCACCGTTAATTCTAAAACGTTGTTGGTATGGAGATTAACTCGACAAGTTCATGAAAAAAACCGCTTATTTACCCGGTTATGTTTTCTTCTCAGATCGTCAGCATCGTCAGGAACTTAAAGCCACCTGGTCTCGTTTGAACAGACAGTCTGGTGGTACAGTGATCCCTGGAGAGGGACCGGTGACCAGAAACAGTGTAAGTGTTCAGAAGTGCATTGGGCTAGAAGAGGCTTATGAGAATGTTTCGAAGCGTTTGTGCGGGAGTGAAATAACTAGTTGCTTATAAATTCCTAACTGATTACTAACCGATTGTTTAAGCATAAACTATTCTTGCCGAAGCACTTACTCTCTGTTAAAAGTATTGACGACTGCGACACCTTTGTATACTCTTGGATGTGATCTCTTGCCGCTTTGCTTTTCCATTAAGAGGAGTCTTTGTCACGAATGTGGGAAAGAGCAAAACTCTAGACCCAGAACTTTTAATTTCGTATCTAGGTGCTCGGCCAATTGGCCACAATGAACTTATTGGTGAGCCAGGCAGTATAATTACTTCACATCTTACAAGTTTGGTGCTAACTGCAAGGTTCCCGTGATCAATAACCTTATTGTTGGTAAGAGCAATCGTCAGCTTGTAACATACTTTATTGTGTCGTTTTCCATGTTAGGTAACATTTGACAACACAATCCTTGCCCTGCCTGCCCCAGTCTCTCCGCCACCTCCGTCACGTGTTCCACCGTCACCCACAAGACAAATGTCTGTTCATCGAATGTCCAGCCGCCATCGATGATCGATCGACAGTTGTCAATCAACGCACTAACTGTTTTGTACTATGGATACTGTTGGCATGAAGAGTGGGATCTATTTAAATAATTTTGTATATTTCAAGAAAATATTTATGGTGTAAAAATCGTACTGTTGTAAATAGGAAGATTAACAGAATAATTTGGCGTTCTTCTTTCATGCAGATGAAATGCAACTTTTTTTACGCTGATGTCATGTTTGGAATCGTGTGAAATTGTATGACTGGTTGTGTTACAACGTAACGAGAAACTGTTTTGACAGGGAATGGTTTCAGGTTACAGAGTAACAACCCTTCTTGGAAAAGCTAAAAAATAGATTTTTTCTTTATTTTTAGACTTTTCTATTTGGCTTAATGGAAAATGAGTTTTTTATTAGGTCAAGAGGAAACATGACATGTGCATGACACGCAAACGGGGCAGAGTCGATGGCTGCCTCGTCCCCATGCTTATTCCAGCTTTACGGTGCCCTGATGTTTTTTCGTTGATTGGGAGTTGATTATTGTACGGATTGATCCATCCTCGGAGACCCAGGGGCTGTGGGTCGATTTCAAGTTAGGGCGTGAAGAGCCCCTGGGGACATTGTCTTACAAGACAAGTTCCAAACGGTCGCAGTCGTTCTGCCATCTGATTGGTGCCAGAAAATCTTTCTCTTTTTCTGCCCAATCAGAGTGAAGTGTTCTTTAGAGTCCTTTCGTGTGTTTTAACACGGACATATACTACTAGCTCAGCTGCTCGCTATGTTTGTTTGGACCGTGCAACGGAGATTTGCTTGAGGCGAAAAGTTTCAGTCTCGGCACACAATGTAACAGAAATCGATCAGATTGTCAGCGAAAGTCTTACCGGAAATTATACTGAATACTTTCGCAGGTATCACTAGAGAACGTGTTTTAAAGTTTGCGAGGTTTGTATACAACACGATGGTTGCAGTCATTGATATGTCGCTTTAAACGTTAAACGTGATTTAAGCTTAAATCTTTCTANAACTTCACGGGATTGGCAAAGTTTCAGTCACAGCAAATTATGCAAAAAATCTAGAAAGATTTAAGCTTAAATCTCGTTTAACGTTTAAAGCGACATATCAATGACTGCAACCATCGTGTTGTATACAAACCTCGCAAACTTTAAAACACGTTCTCTAGTGATACCTGCGAAAGTATTCAGTATAATTTCTGGTAAGATTTTCGCTGACAATCTGATCGATTTCTCTTACATTGTGTGCCGAGAGGCCCGAGACTGAAACTTTTCACCTCAAGCAAATCTCCGTCGCACGGTCCAAACAAACATAGCGAGCAACTGAGCTATTGGTATATGTCCGTGTTAAAACACACGAAAGGACTCTAAAGCACACTTCACTCTGATTGGGCAGAAAAACTCAAAGATTTTCTGGCACCAATCAGATGGCAGAACGACTGCGACCGTTTGGAACTTGTCTTGTAAAACAATGTCCCCAGGGGCTTTTCACGCCCTAACTTGAAATCGACCCACAGCCCCTGGGTCTCCGAGGATGGGATTGATCTGAATAGCGTGATTCGCTAGAAGCTCATTACCTGGGCTCCTGGATTAACTTATTTCCATGCGAGTGCTGCATTCTTTCTATTGAGGCGAAACAGTGTGTCTTGTTCGAGATTATTAGTTTAGTAGAGAGACTTGTGAATTGCGTCGGCGGGCAAGTAAAACAGTTCGTTGGTAATCGACCTCTAGTTAATGCCTTGTCCGTCGTTTTTGGTCGTTGACTCATGATTGGTCGATTACATGCCACGTGACACACCTGACCTATTCCTTTGAAGAGAGCACTAGACCTTATGTGAATGGGACAAGACTGTTCGGTCAGAATGACGTTTTAGTTCCAGAGATTCAATAAATGACCTTCTCCAGAGAACCAGCCGTGAAATCTTGTAGAAAATATTGGAAAGACAAAGCAAGATCTTATTAAATCGCTGTAGGATGGAACAATGAGAGATGAAAGTTTTACTTTTGAATGCTCCAGAACTTTAAATCGCTTATCATCTGACGCGAGTGTCATCGGGTCAGCAAAGTTTGCACATTTTAGTAGGTAAATATTGTTTTGTAATCCTTTTTAAATGCATCAACTGTACGCTATTTGTGGTTGAAGGTTTGATAACTAGCCTTTTCTTTCCTTGCAACTCTGTATGCAACTACGGAATGTGGTTTATTCTTTCAAAGCTTAATGAGTTCGTTGACGCAAACCAAAATAGCTACCCCCTTTTGTTTTATTTTTTTTTTTTTTATGTTTGCAACTATCACAAGTAGTTTATGTTTATGGTAAGAAGACTTAAATCAAACAAGTTAAATCTCTTCATATTGAAAGATTTTATGTTCCCGTAGTAAAAAGAATCGTTCTCATATATTGCCAGTTGCTTTTCGTTGCAGTGATAAACTTATTCTAACAAATCTTGTGAATCTTTTCGCTGAGTTTCTCAGGTCTGAGGTTACCAATTGTTTGAACGTGTACGACGTTGTCACTTTTTCCCAGGGCGATCTCTTTCAACTCATCCACGCTGATTTGATCTCCAATTCCAACAGCTATGATGTTCACACCACGATCCTAACATGACAACATAGTCAATTAGCTGTTAGAGCTTATACACTTTGGTTTTCGTGAAACCAATGTAATTACATCTGCCAATCAGAACAAAGGAAAGCGCCGGGAAAACGCGAGTGCTCGCGTCGTGGTAGCTTTAATTTTATATCTGATAGGGTGAGAGAGTTCTTAGACTACACAAACCTTAAGAGGTTTTAGAACATCCTTATATGGCTCGCTGTCTTGTCCAGTTCTCCCCTTAGTAATCACGAGTAGCACATCCGGGATGTTTTCTCTGTCTTTTCCTGCCTTGAACAACTGTTCTCCCGCCATTTTCAGTGCCTTGTCAGTTCTCACCTCTCCATCCGGGAACTCTATACCCAAGATCGCCAGTTTGAGGTAGAGTGGGTGGTAAAATGGCTTATCTGTAAATCCGCACATCAATTGGGGCTTGTTACTGTACAGTATTACTCCAAAGTGTGTTTTGTGCGAACTCACAGAGAACTGGTCGATCAGTTTTAAGAGAAACTTCTTGGTTTGAACGAAGCCATTGTTTCCAGCGCTTCTACTGCCGTCGATGATCAGACCTAGGTCATACAGATCTCGACTGGAGCAGGTGGCTGGTGAACAGAAGAGAATACAACTCACTTTAAGCTTTTAGCATGCATTGCCATTGACTTTTTTTTTCTTTTAAACCAAAACTTCGGAAATCAAACCGGCCAATCAGAGGAAAGGTTAATATCATAAAGAGTCAATGAGAGCTCAAAGTAAAAGCAAGCGTGGGCAAAAACGAGTGACTAACTCTTGACTGGCTGTGATTCACAAAGCCAGTGGGTGTGGCGAGATTTCTAGACCAATCGTAGTGTGAAGTAAGAGAAACGTGCTTAGCCTGTTCTAAGCGTTGTTAGTAAAATGGAGCAAGATAATAAATAGGGCAATAATGGCGGAGAAGTGAGAAAGCGACGGAGGCTTGGGAATGCGTTCCGACCCAAACCTCTCTCGTTTTACTGACTTCCGCTCAATAGTAGTTGGAGGTATTTTAAATAAAAAATTCATGAATTTCTCTGTGTTATATTTTGATATTTCCCTACTATGCACTACCCTGTTTGAAATCAGTGGTAGAGTTCAACGTATGCAGAATAAAAAAGGTGACTTCATGTTCAAATGCACGTCTTCATTAACAATGGCGGCTTTAAGCCAGAACGACCTTAGCATTGATTTTTGATGTTGTACAGGTTAAAAAACAATTTCAAATTAACACACCTTTCTCGCAAAATTTTCCGCTGTACCCACTCTTACATTTGCATTCGAAACTTCCCAGCGTGTTCTTACAAGTAGCGCCGTTTTGACATAGACGTTGCTTGCACTCGTTTACATCTGTGAGAAAAAATCGTTTTAATGTACAAAGAAGCGCTCGAGATTTTAATCGCAATAACAGGTTACCTCTCGGTGGAAGTCTCGAATATAACCAGTTGAATGCCCTTTTTCTGACTTTCCCAGGCTTTTGAACCCCTTTGGGAGAGATTGGCGCAGATAGGAAAGAAAACGTGCAATGCACACTTGCAATTAGCTGAGCTTGTTACGCAGGTTTTGCCTAATGATACTGCTTCAGTTTATGTTCTTGGCTCGAATACAGCGAGACGTTTCTTCTGCGGGCGTGAGGTACTGAGTTACAGCCCTTAATGGCTTGCTAGCGAGCCGTCCCCCTTTGTTATGTGTTGTAGAACGCAAGTTTTTCTGACCGCGGGAAGATCCCAGACGAGTCGGGGAGAGATTTATCAAGAGTTTGGCACTAATAATTGGAGACAGCTCACAGGCTGTACTTTCCACCTAAAACGATGCTTCTCGCTTGTTACACCTCATTTGAAAACAAAGATATTCGTAAGATCATCGAAAAATAACAGAAAAATCTTCGGAAGATCTTAGAGATTAAATTTAGGTGTATGGTAGAAACACATTGATTATCATACCAACATCACAAAGCATTCCTGTAATGCCAGGTGGGCAGAGACACTGAAATCCATCGTGTTTGTTGACACAGGTTCCCCCATTTTTACAAGGGTTGAAGCCAAGTATACACTCGTTCACATCTGTTGGGAAAAGCCACTGCCTTATTTTTATGTGAAGTGACGATTAAACGCACGCGCAATGAATGGAAATGCAGCTGATCGAGAACTGGGAAATACCTCGACATCTGATTAATCCGCAGGAAATTAAGGAACACAGGCGTAACTGTTCAGAAGCAGTTTTCCTTAAATCAAATTTAATGGTCTACAATTGCACAGTTTATATCCGTATGTTTTACCTACCCTTCTCGCAAAACTTTCCGCTGAATCCACTCTTACATTTGCAGCGAAAGCCACCAATCGTATTAACACATGTGGCTCCATTCAAACACAGTTGCTGCCGGCACTCGTTTACGTCTGTAAAAAGATAATTCTATTTTTTGAAATAAGGCCTTTAGTTTTTAATCGCAGTAGTCTCCAAGCAGGCCCTCATATATTAGCGCTTTGTTACGAGTGTTTCTTTGGCTGGCTGGAAAGTGTAGGGCGTCAAGCAAAACGAGCCGGTAAAAAATCTGCTAGGGGTCTAGCACTAGTACCAGATCCCCGGCAAAGCTCTTCCCGACTCGTCTCAAATCCTCCCGCGAAGCGCGCGTCCTACAGCGTTTATAAGAGGGCCTGCTCACAGAATATCATCGCAGATGCAATTCAACATCACATTGAAAACAAAAAGATCAAAATAAAGACAATACTGCCTACAAATAAAACGTGATTGCCACGGATACCTTGTTTACACAGTTTCCCTTGCATTCCGGGGGGACACAAGCACTGAAAGCTCCCTATATTATTAATGCACGTGGAGCCTTTTCGGCAAGGGCTCTTTCTACATTCATCTTCATCTGCAGGAAAAGCATAGGAATGGTCTCTGCTGGAGTGTTTAAACCAACGTCTTATATTTTAATTAACAAGGTTCGTCGTGGTAGTGACAGCTCCGTTTGTATTTCCTTCGATTCCTTTCCCCCGCCCCGCTCACTGATTCTCGAAATACCTCCGTCGGGCCTAAATATCGGACGTTCTGTCAGGTCTTCTCTTGATTTTCCTGAGCGCAAAAGAGAGGCCCTAGCAACTTGTTACTTTCCCTCGTGAGAGTGAGAGACTATCTCGTTCCCATTCGTCTCTCTTTTTACAGAAACTCGAGAGTGTCAGAGTCCTGTGCAAAGAGGAGTAAAACGGGAAGGTGAAGTGCAAAGAGACGCTAAGGGTCTTTCTTTCGGCCATTTCGTTGCGTTCTTCTTTAACGATCCGTTAACCCTTATTTGCTTTCAAGACTAGGCGAGAGTCACGGACTCATACCTCTTTATTCCCTTTATTGTACGAGGTCTTCACATCAAATTTCTGACCTATCACTTAGAGGTCCAAGTTGACAATGAAAGGCGCACGCTATAGAGGCGATCGTTAGAAATTTAAAGAGCAGATCTATGTGGAAGGAGTTCGCTAAGAAATTAATTTATAAGTGCACATTTTACCAACAAACTACAGCTAACATAAAAAAACCTTTCTTATAATCATTGAGTAACTTTTTCAGCCTTCTATACCTTTTTCACAGAGTTTGCCAATAAACCCTGGGACACATTTACATTTAAAACCACGCATTCTTCTCACACAAGTTCCTCCGTGTTGGCAGGGGCTGCTCTGACATGGATCTAGGACTAAGCGAACGATTTATGCATGGCACTTTTGGCTGAGATGCACAGAAATTTTACGTGAAAAATTGATTGGTGATTTATAAGTTAAATTTACCTTCTTCACAATTTGTCCCGGTGTAACCCCGTCTGCATTTACATTCAAAGCTACCCACGATATTTATGCATGTCCCTCCGTTCTTACAAGGTTGACTGAGTGCACACTCGTTTATATCTTCAAAAGTAAAGAACGCGAAAGTTATGTTAACATAAGATCCAGCCTGTTCTGGGCATTTAGTTGGCAAAACGGAGTGAAGTAGTCAGCGGCGTGATAGTGGCAGCAGAGTGAAATGAGGGAGGCTTGGGTCAGGATTATGCGCTCGACCCAAGTCTCCCTCTTTTTTTCACTCGTCGCTAAACTATCGAGCTTCGTTTTATAAACTGAACTGTTGGAAAAGGCTGGGTAAGATCGCACGTCAACCTATGGCCATAATTGCATTAATAACGTTCAGAACGCTCAGCCTTTATACATCTTTTAGGGTTTTGAGAGAAGAAGTTGAAAAATTTCTCTCTTTTGTTACTGGTCTGGTGGAGAATTCACATTATGTGATTCATAAAAAAAAAAAAAAACATAACAAATGAAAGATACCTTGGTCACAGAGGTTTCCTTGGAATCCATGGTGACATTTACATGTAAAACCTCCTAGAGTGTTCGTACATGTTCCGCCATTCTTACACGGAGAACTGACACATTCGTCTACGTCTGGAGGATTAAAAAAATCGTGACTAAGGGCAATACCGAGTTAAAAGAGTTCGCGTTGCGAAGCTAGAAATGAATGAACTGATTAAATATGGCGGCTGATTTGGACACCGGATGTGGACCGCTAAGAGTTGAAAATCATAAGACAGAAAGCACTACTATATCCTGGATTTGCATAATGTGCACAAATGCAACTTTTTCTCCAATCTTTGGATTAAAATCAAAGAGGGCGGAAATGTTAGAGAGGTTGTGAGGTAAGGAGATGAGAAAACAAGTCTTGCTTGTTACCTGGGTGAATCAATGTCAGAATCTGATCAATTACCCCTCCCTTAACCCATCTTTAATCTTAACTTGTTATCAGTTGATTGTCGAGGGAGCAGGGGTAGGTGCGCAGTTGTCCATATTCTTACATTGATCCCTTACCTTCATCGCAGAGAGCTCCTTTAAATCCTTGTCGACATTTACAGCTGAATCCTCCGAGCGAGTTGACACAAGTCCCCCCGTTTTTACACGGGTTCTTAGAGCACTCATCCACATCTGAACCAATCACGCAAAAAGATAAATGAATCATTTTCGGTGAAGAAAGCACACACCGTCATGGCACTAATTACTACAAAATCTCATCCGTGGGTTTATCTAAATTGAAAAGCTTTTTTTATAAATTTAAATCTAAATTTAATTCTAAAGAAGAAAAAAAGAAATCATACCGTGTTCACATAGTTTGCCTTCAAATCCTTGTTGACATGCACAAGTGAAACTCCCGGGTGTGTTCTTACAACTTCCGCCATTTTTACATGGAGAACTAACACATTCGTCAATGTCTAAAAGGAGCAACGTGTTTCTAACTACTGCGTACAAAATTTGATATTGAGATTATCCCACTCGAAACTCATAACTTAACAGCTTCACCAACCTTATACATAGATAATTAACTAATAGAATAATTTCAATAATCGATATAAGTTTAACTTTTTTACGGAAAACAGATGTACATAACAATTCAATTTGATAGGCTTAGTTGTCAAAGGATGTAAGGTATGAATTGTCCAACTTGAGATACCCAGCCTGATTTTTTTTCAAGTTTTCAATTTGCAGCCAGCGTCTAGCCTTTTCATCGTTAACTTCAAGCTTCGATTCTTTTTGGTTTTTTTTTTCTTTTTTACACCCCTATGGTGTTTGTCTTCGATCCTTGGTAAACGATTGTTAACATTTATTCTGACGAAGGTCCGTTCTCTAGGATGCAAAAAATCATTGATATATCGTCAAGCAGTTTCTACTTCAGTTAAGTACAAACAGTAACTCTCCATTAAATACGATATGAAAAATAAACACTGGAAGTCTTGGAACAGCCAATAAAAGCGGGATATCCAGAAACTGTGCGACACAGGTGGCTTAACACCCATTCTGCTATAAAACCTCTGGCAATTTCGGGAAAAAACCGGGAAGGAAAGGCAACTTAAGAGCGAATGTTACCAACGGTCAAACATTTGGTGGCAACAGCTAAAAAATCGATTCGGCTCATATTCTCAAGTTGGGTAGGCCTTATAGTGAAACAAAGCACTGCATACTTTGTTTGGCTGAATATCGATTTATTTTAGAGAAAATCGATAACAACTGAATTTCGCCAAAATGCCGCTTTTGAAGCTCAAATTTTCAGACGAATCTTGGAGTGTCACGCCACGAATTGACAACACTTGGACCGATAAAAAGTACCAAATCTTAAAGAAAAAAACATCAGTACATATGTTGACAGCAATTTGAGCAATTCTTGATTNAAGTTCAACAGCTTTATATCTGTACTGTTTCTTCCCCAGAGGCTACTGTGCCTTGTTAAGTTACTCGTGCCGGTAGTAAGACTACGACCCAGGTAGCACACGTTCAAATTATTCACACTCATCTTTTCCCGGCAGTGGTCCAAAAAAAACTCACGCCTGGAAATGAAACCATTTCTGCTTATCTCAGAACTCAAGAAACGCTTCGAGTAATCATTGCACCAGCTGATACAGCAGACTCTGGCGCGAGTCGGTATACCTACATCAGTCAAATACGGTACTTGCATTTTGGAAACAGTGGCTTTGAAAAATTAACTCAACTAGTTAGTTATTTAGTATTCTTTCCCAAGAAGGTAGCCAAGTAAGCAGTGATCTATCGCCCTCAAATATGGTCGGGTCCAAAGCTATCAATGCATTATATGGCAAAATATCATAGAGCGTAGCTCATGCGCAATGACAAATTTAACATAAGCCTGTTGTCTGGTCAGACCAAAATGTTCACGCCCAATGGGAAAAGACTGACATCTAGATTTAACAAGAAAAAAGAAAGGAAACAAACCCATTTTTTGCCTATCTCCTTATTATTTCCTTCCAAGATGATAAATTTAAGAAGTGAATGACTACTTCTTATCGAAGTCCAAAGCCAATCAATGCTTTATATGGCGATATATTATTGAGCATCGTTTGATATATCATAAGGAACTCGGCGCCTCGAACTTAGAGCCTCTTGTCTACCCCAAACCAAGCTTTTCACAAGGCGAGGGACAAATTGTCATGGTATGTATGTTAACAGGAGGAGAGAATACGGTTGCTTGGCTAAGAATTAGGTCAACTTCGTCTTTTGGCCCGGAAAATCGAGACAAGTGGAATGGCTCTCATTCCACCTTAAACAAACAAGGAGAGGTATAATTACTGTTTCCCGTTTTCTGGATCGTTTGTCGAAGTCACAGTGCACTCTTACTGAAGTTTTCAACGAGCAGCAGATATCCTTATGAGAAGAACGACACTCACTGCTTTTGCAGAGTTCACATCTTTTTTCTGCATGCAATTCGTTTTATGCCAGTTTCAAGGCAATTTCTGTAATTAATCAAACAATCCATATATAGCGATTAAAATAGCAAGGAAGAGAAAAAAAAATACGATTCAATCTTTCAGCGTCTCAGTAAAAGATACTTATAAATCATTTAAAATCCTGACCTCTGTTCAAGACAATTGTCATCTCGACCGGTTCCTTTTCACACAAAGCCCCAAGTGTTTATAGATCATCACTGTGGTATCAGCGATTAACGATAAAAACACCCCTCTGAATTTCATTTAATAGGTTTGAATAGAACTCATTTTGAAAACAACATACCGTCAACCGAAGAAAATTAAGTCAGAGTGCAGGGAAGTTGAAATCTTATCAACAGTAAAATACAATAATATTGTAGCAGGCAGTGGTTTTAATCACCGAACTAGGTTTACCTTTCGTTCTTTTTGTCCTAAAATGAGCTTTATCAAACGAAAAAATAATTCACTAAATAAAAATCTAACTCAATAAGGATCGGAGTTAAATAATATAATTGTTTACTCCTGTTTCCCACATGTAACACTTGACCATAGTTCCTTTAGCCACGTGCTTCACAGTCCAATGTTGTATTTTTGCGGAGCCGTTGTCGATTTCAGCGGACTAATTTTGAATTAATTAGCGTTATTCCGCACACGAGCTGAGTAACATGTTTCTAACAAGCAACATTAATTCTGCGAACGTTTGGTTCGCGGTTTGGTTGAAGACTATATTTAAACAAAGATCTCTTACGTGAAGTAACTTTACAACCTCCTTTTCAACGAAATGGAAATGGAGAAACCCAGTCAAACGCTTTGTAAACACTCATTATCAAGAGACGTTGACTATTCTGCCAAGTTATATCGTTATTATGGGAGCGATGCAACAATTTCAGGACTGCAATCACCTTTTGCCGGATACAGCAATATGAACGGTAAGATGATATTATGTTAAATAAGCTGTAGACTGGATGTAAAATGCGAAACAATTAAGTTTGCTTGTGAATGTGTACATTTTCGAATAACTAACGGTACCGTCAAATCAGCTCATTTTGTCCAACTTTAAAATTTGATTAAATCGCAAAGAATCATTACCCCAAAAAATCCTTTGGAAATCGAAAAGAACCACACTTCGCCTTCTAAAAGCCAGATTTTCTGTCGATTATTTTATTTACCACATAGTTAAATAACGGGTTACTTTTGACCCATTTTTAATCTTGTTAGAAGAGGGTCGGATAAATTCGATTAGATTAAGTAAATAAATGATCAAGAATTGCTCAAATTGCCGTCAACACATGTATTGATGTTGTTTTTCAAGACTTGGTACTTTTTATTGGTCCAAGTGTCTTCAATTCGTGGCGCGACGCTCCGAGATTCGTCTGAAATTTCGAGCTTCAGAAGCGGCATTTTGGCGAAATTCAGTTGTTATCGATTTTCTCCAAAATAAATCGATATTCAGCCAAACGAAGTATGCAGTGCTTCGTTTCACCATAAGACCGACCAAACTTAAGAATATGAACCGAATCGATTTTTTGGCTGTTGCCACCATATTTTGAAAATGTTCGATTTTTGGCCACATTTGCTCTTAAGTCGTTCCAGGTCGATTCTATTTACAGTTTAATCGGTTGAGTTAAATCTGGCAGCATATTTTTCTCAGGTGATTAATCGCGGAGGGATAAAAAATGTGAAAAATTGTAGCCTATCTTCAGAGTCATTAATCACGCATTGTCAGGGAAAGTTCATGGTGCGGTTTTAACTTTCAAACCTACCTTCATCGCAGAGAACCCCTCTAAATCCTTGTCGGCATTTACAACTGAAACCTCCAATGGTATTGATGCATGCCCCTTCGTTTTTACACGGGTTCTTTACACATTCATCCACATCTGCACAGAAATGAAACACAATAGACCACTTTCATAAATGGCTGCCGTATAAATATTCTTTTGTTTAAATTTTAATTAGCCCTTCTGGCCTCGCTTGAGATAATGTATTCTTTTGAATTTTGTACTGGAGAACGAGGCCAGTACGGCTAATTCAATAATCCGGCAGCCATTTATGAACGTGGTCTATATGTGGCAGAAAATTGACATACTACATTGCTCCGAAGACTCTGCGCCCACGTCCGGAATGCAAGTAACTACTCTAGGGCGTGGGAGGACTGGTGCGAGACAAGTGGAACATCTATATTAAAACGTGCCTCAGTTTGTTAGTTACCTTCGTCAAAACAAGTCAAAAATCGGTAAAATTTAGGAGAATCAAAAGAACAGTTAAAATGAGACATAAAAAGCAATTAAAGAATACCTTGTTCACATAGCTTTCCTTCGAATCCTTGCACACAGATACACGTAAAGCCCCCTGAGGTGTCCATACAGCTACCGCCATTTTTGCAAGGAGAACTGACACATTCGTCTATGTCTGAATAGAGCAGACTGATTGTTATTATTTTTTGAATTAAAGACCGATGATAAAAAGTCATAATAGAAGCATAAAACGAAGGGGATAATATGAAAGTGAGCAGGAAAAGTGCATTCTCTCCTCCCCTTCTTCAGTTCTATCTTTATTTCCGTGCACCTCCCCCGTGAGGGAGTGGGAAAGAGTAAAATAGGGGGGTTGTAGAGAATCTCTTTCGTTTATAAATTTCAAGTTTTAATTGTCCTCTTCCTCTCTCTCCTTTGTACAAATTAACCAATTAACCTTGGCAATGAAAACTGACGCGGGCCTTTCGCTCGTATCTTGGTTGTTGTTGTTGTATTTTTTTTTTTTACGGAGTTAGTTTGGTTGTTGTTTTTGAGTTTTGGTTCACACCAATTTGTTATCCCTCAGTTTGTAAATTTAAGAAGTTTTAGGTGTTTTATTTAAGCCGAAAGTTGTGGCTATTTTAACAAGTTAATACATATTTTCTACGAAGTTTGGACTCTGGCTTCTTTTTCATTATTGGTCTATGACAGGGGTCCTGGATATATATGAACTAAACATGTGGTCCCAGGAATAATTTACTGATAACCGTAAACAAAATATATCAAACGAAAGCCGAAAGAAACTTTTGTAGATTTTACTAACAAGGTTCGATTTAACTAAGAGCACCGGGTGTTCTTTTCCAACTCTGTTGTACCCTTACATCCAAATTATTTGTATTTTATATCCAGTATCTATCAGGTACCTTCATCACAGAGATCGCCTTTGAATCCTTGAGGACACTTACAACGGAATCCACCCATCATGTTAACGCAGGTGCCTTGGTTTTTACACGGGCTGTTTGCGCACTCATCCACATCTAAACCGATAAAGGCAAAGAGAGTTCAATGAGTCATGTTTGGCGAGCGTATTTCTTCATTTCAAGCGTGCAAAAAATAATCAAGTGTAATTAG